AGAGAGAGTCAGCTTAGGAAGTCTGTGGCTATTAGCTTGATCAAATTATACTTTGAAAATGGGTTAATAAATCTAGAGGAGAAGGGAGGGAGGAGAAGGTATTTTGAATTATTCATCATCTGTTTGACAAGTTTACATAGCCATGAAATGCAGGTGGGAGTATAAGGAGTGGGTTATTTATTAATTGCATATGAATTGCACAGACCTTCCTCTCTTGCAGCCAGATCTGCTTTCACAACTTAGCTTTGACTACAGCTGGGCAAATTCTTTTTGCCTTCAGCTGAAGAAATTCTAAGTACCTTTGAAAAATCCAATCCATCAAAATTCAAATCCATTTTCTTTTTTCATTCTTAACATCAATCATCTTAGATGATATTTCAACTATTCTTGATAATGAAAGGACTGAGGAGGAAATGTTCATATATCACATTCTGGAGAGCAAGTGTACAAGAAATCAAATTATCATTGTGGGTTTTTTAGGCTTTATTTTGATATCTGTGCCCCCAGAATGAACACTGGGAGTTGAAGACTGCTCTTACCCTTTCTGAAACTTCACAACCTTCTGGAAAAGCCTGAGGAAGGTGAAGATCTGAGAGGCCTTTATGGGGTAAGGTTTTTGGCAGATGGAATGCATAACACGCAGTTCCTTTTTGTGAACAAATGTGAAATCTCTGTCAGGAAACATAACTGAAAATACCTTCCCCAGTCCAGAAGTATTTATATTTTTTCCTTAGCATTCTGTGTAGCCTTTTCTGGAGCCCATGACAAAGATCAAGCAGACTTCACCATCTCCAGCTTTAGTTTTCTACCAAAATGTCAACATTTGAGTCTGCAGCTCACGTACCAACAAAACACTGGTTGGGATTTCCCCTTTCCAGATATATCTGCATCTGAATTTGTAGTTATGAATGTTATTGCCCATTTTTTGCAGGGCACATGAACCGACTTTCTTTCCATACCAGAACTAAGCTGAAGCATAGACACAACACAAAGAAGCATTTTCTTTGAAAAAAGTGCAGCCATTCCACGATTTCACCTCCCTTGCTGCCTAACCTGTGCAAAAGCAGGCTTGTGGCATCACCTGCCAGCAGAGGAGTTGTCTGCATGTCTCCTGCTCTCCAGCCTGCCCTAAAGCTGGAGCTGTCTGCACTTCCCTCCTAGTTACCTCATCAGTGACTGCAGGGTAGGGATATGTAAGGATACGTCAATTCCTAGTGAGGACAAGTCACACATTGAAGATTCTATTAGTGCTGTCAGTTAAATGGATGGGTGACTTCACATGATTTTGGGGTTTTGAACATTTTTTATTTATTTTTCAAGTAAAATCCAAAAAGGTCCTTTGGGGAGGATCAAGGATCAGGGTTGATCCTCTGCTCAGTTATGTTGTTTGCAAAATCAAGTTTTTCTCTGCAGCTCTGAGAGGGTATGAAAATATTTATGTTTATTCTGACATAGAGAAGGAACAGATTCTACATCTCCACCCTTGGGGGTCTGGTAATACAGAAAATTCATGCTTGTGGATGAAAACCACGTGGGTGAGATTGCTCAATGATTAATGCTGTATGGTCTGGGGAGTCACGCCACTCTCCTGACAGCTCCCAGGCCAAGAGCTCTGGGAGATTTGGGAGCACTGTGGTTTTCTGGCGAGAGGAGCTCGCTCTGGCCGCGCAGCCCCACCCAGCAGGGGCGGTGATGCTCGGTGTTTTCTGCTCCTTCACAACAACAGGTGGCTGTCTTCCCCCGCAGGCAGGGCATGGAGGAGGTGAGGAATTTACTCAATACTCGATTTATTTACAGTGTCTGATGGGAGTAAGGGTGGGGGCAAACTGTGCTGGTTCAAGTAATACTCACACAGACTGGCAGAGGGTTTTCTTGCCCAGACGCTCCCTGTGACCAGCAGTTGGTTTGGAATAGTGGCACCACCTGAGCCTTCTTCTGAGTTGTTCCTTCAGACCCACAGGTGGGAATGTACAGAGCAGTCAGTGACTCAGCATTGGTAGCACTGTGTCTCTTTATTTTTGTAAAAAAAACCCCATTTTCTATAGCACATGGACAGGTGGGAAGGGAACAGCCTGCAGGAGGGGAAGGGTATGGCTGTGAGACCTGCAGTGCTCCAAGATGCAGCAAAAGTTCCAAAAGATGCTCCAAAACTGTGCAAAAGTTCCAATAACCACTTCTGAAAGCCAAAGAATGCCAAACTCCACTAGAGGCCACTCACCAAACACAGGCCAACACATCCCAAAAGTCTCTTTGCCCTCACGTCTGGGACACTGCAAATGATAAAGAAAAGAGGGGAAAGGCATTCTTCTATTTCTCAGTGAGAAATGTTTTAAAATATACTGGCATTTTACAGACAAATGAGGCACCCTCAGTGCAACTGTAGATGTGTCAAGTGGGACAGAAACTTTATGTGAAATCAAGCTTTGGAAAGGAAAACTTGTCATTTTCCTGTGAGAAGATAGGGCAGCCTTCCATAAGAGTACTCTATAAAAATACCCAGTCTGCCCAAAGATACCATCTGATATATAAAGAGATTACTCATTTATTTAAAGGACAGTTACTGAATAAGTTTTAAAGTGTTGTGGGACTCTTCTGAATTAACATTCCTCAGTGTGATAGAAAGAAGCTCAGTCCTGACCTGTACCTCAGGGGCAATTTTGGCTGAGATCAGAGGGTGGCTGAGAGCACTCAGAATTTGATACTGTCATTTTCCATCTGTAGGTCTGATATTTTATATCAATAAAAGTCTGTCAATAAAAGCTGAGTCTGTCCTGCAGACTCTTGGATACAAGGCTTTTCTGCAGATAGTTGTGCTGGGAAGCTGATGTGGTCGAGTTGCTGATTCAGTAAGTTAGAACAGAGTCTAGGTAAGTGGTAGATTTTGAATGGAGAAGTTTTCCAGGGTGAGTCAGATGTTGAGCCTGGGCTAGGCTGCCTCATGATGGCTCAATGAATGACACATACCAAACCAATTTGAGCAGCATAGATTTTTGTTAATTTTAAATGTCATGGAGTAACTCAGTAGCCATCTGTCTTAGTCGGATTAATATCCTGATCATCACACAAAATTGTGGCTCTTGTGCAGTACTGAGAGTCGAGGAGCCAATCTTCAGATGCTGTGTGAAGCCACCATCCTGTCTGGAGCTGTCCCCATAGAGGATAACCTGCATCCTGCCATTTTTCTAGGGAAACACAGCCAAGCACAGCATGGAGAGACACTGCTGAGGGTGAATTTTTTGCTGTATCCCCTCACACAATCACTGTTCTGGTTCACTGTCCCCAGCCAGGCTGGACAGGGCTTGGAGCAACCTGGGATAGTGGAAGGTGTTCCTGCCCATGACATGTGAACAAGGACATGACAGGAACAAGGTGATCTTTAAGGTCCTTTCTAACCCAAACCATTCTGGGATTCTAAGATTCACAGGGGTTAATGAAGTAAAAACGAATTATTCTAAATGCTTTTGTACTCAATACATCAGTGAGAAGTTGCACTAGTCCTGCCCATGGATCCAGTGTATCCAGTGGGGATGTTGCCTGTCATTCTGCTTCCCCCTGCCAATCATCTGTAAAAGCCCAGATATTCCCAGTCTAAACAGCTTACCCAGACCTTCAAAGGTAAGCAAAAAAACCTGCTGTACACAGAGCATTTGAAGAAAAATTTTGTGCTACTATCACAGGTCCATGTGACAGTGTCTTCTCTAATTTTGCACTGGGTTTGTGTGAGGACTTTACACTTTCCAAGCCCTTGGAGAGAGGAGAATTGGCAAATAAGAGTGTATGTACATGTGGAAAACATCCAGGGGATTTTATTGCTGAGCTAGAGTTAGACTGTAATAAAGTGGATAAGCTGTGTAAAATACCGGCCCTTTAGAGATGTGGCTGAAACAATTCACTGAAGGTTTTTCTGCGAGAGGCAGTGGCTCTCCCAGGAGTGCTTTGCCATATTTGGTTCCAACTTTTCCATCCACAGAAGCAAAGGCTACCTCTGTACGTCACTCATAGGACTGGGTCAGATTGTTGTTCCATAAATTCAAATAAACATTTCTTTCCCCCAAGAGATTCCATCAGGACATTTGAATCCAATCATATTTTTCAGTGCTCAGTGAGTTTATTTTCCATCTGCATGTTCCCTATTAGTCTGTGTCCAAAGCTGTTCCCACTATTCCTTACTGCAGTGCCAGGCCTGGGCATTTCCTCAGCTTTCTTTGGAGGAAACCAAATGGAAAATCTTTGGAAGAACTCGTATGTCTTTTGAGGAAGAAAACCCAATATGGATATGACAGAAGATGTTGTTATGAAGTGGAGTCTGTTAGGAGAGCAATGTCAATTGGGCTCCCAAAACTTACATTGCATTTTAATTACTGAGTGATACTGGGGAGCCTAAAAGCGTGGGAGCACAAAATGTTTGTATTCAGCTCAGTTAATATAAAGGAGGACTAAGGAAGAGGTAGAGTGTCTTATAAGTTTTTTAATCTCATTTTCTGCTGCTGCTTCTTTGTATTTTAAATCTTGCTTAAATTTTGGCTTTATTATTTTTCCTCTTTAAAGATCTGTCTCTTTTTGATATTTGGTGTGCAACTATTCACCAAATGGGTTCTAATGTCAGAAAGACGTAGTCCAGCAGGTGATGAAACATTTCTATATTTGTGAAGATTTTTTTAAATTTGTTTAATTGCCATTCAAATGAAAGAGAACAATTTAATTTTTCCTTCTTGAATGGGAGAAATGCCTGAGAATTTTCAAGCCACCCACAATTTCTGTGTGTGTCCTGTGGGCTCTTCCCACTTACACCACTTCAACTTTGTTGATTGAGAGCGAGAGGTCAGCAAACACAGGCTCCAGGACATATTCTGCTACGTTTCTCTGGGGTTTTGGCTGTCATTAATGTGGCTTTTCCCATTTTCTGCAAAGTTTTCAGAGGGGTGTGAGCTGTCCCTGGCAGCAGCAGGTTTCTGTGATGTCCATTTCATGGAGGCTGCTGCACACGTGCTGCCCTTGGTGCCAACAGCCAGCGACACTCTCCAGATGCTGCTGAGGCTTCTGCAAGAAGTCTTGAGGCTCAACAGCCAGCCAGAGCTTCTTTCCACCACCTTTGCTGAACAAAACACCTTTGCCAAGCACGGAGACCTCTTTGCTGAGGGCTCCCTACGTGGTGGGGATCCTGCTGTGCATTTCCACGTCTGTGAACTGCTGCACGTTCTCAGTGCTCTCTGGGGAGGTGATGGGGGACACAACGTGCTTCAGGCGCAGGAGCATGGAGAAGAGCAGGATCAGGAGGAGAGCCAGGAGGGTTAGGAACAGCCCCACGTACACATAGAGGCTGGAATATTTGTCTGCTGACGTGTCTACTTCAGTAGCCAGAGTTGGAAGGTGGACACGGCCAGTCAGATTTCCGCGGAACTTGAAATAAATCTCAGTCATTGCTCTCTGTCAGCTTTGGTCCATTTTCTGTATTTACCTTCAGATCTCCTGTTTCCCCTCACCAGACTCACAAAGGAGGTCAGGAGAGGAAACTCAGCACAGATGGCGTGATGGCTTCAGCAAGAGCTGCTCCATCCTCTCGGTGTCAAGGCTGCTGCTCACACAATTGAGCAAACTGCGAGGGACAAGCCTGTGCAGACCATTTTGCACATTGCTGTCATAATGACAACGAGCATCACACTTGTGCTTTACACTTCCTTCTGGCTTTTATTTAATCCTAAAAATACTTTGGGCCTCCTTTTGGTAGGTCACCTCCTTTGGATGGTGAAAAGCTTTGGTCCTTCTCTCAAGCTGAGATGGTTGGCACAGCTTTGGTCTTTGCAAATGCTGTTTTTCCAGACAGAATGAGCAATCAGCTTTCTGCCAGCTTCTCTCTCCCACAGCAGGTGGTTTATCCTTGGGTGAGCTGGGGAAGGTTGTTTTCTGCTTTGCCAAACATCTGGGGGATCTCTTCTCTCCTAATTCAGGGCTTAAGGAGTATGGAGTTCTGAGTTTCTCATTAGGAACGGTCAAAAAGTCAGATTTCTAAAGGGAAAAAAGTGTGAGAGAGAAATGACACCAGATACCAAAACAGCCTAGCCTGGATGTGGTATCTTTAGAGCAAATAGATAAGAAAACCCCTGTCATGCTCCTGAGAGACACTCTGAGATGAGGAGAAGCACTGAGTATTTAACTTTAGAAAAACACTGTGCAAATCTAATTGCTGATGTCCTCTCTGGTAACACATTATTAAGGGCACAAGAAGACCCCACAAGCTGTGCAGTCAGATGTCACAGAGGAAGGGGAGATATGAATAAAATCAGTGTTTTTCACCATGGGTCTCATTTATTGTGTATCAGTTACCCTCTTTTTCTCAGGCTGGATGCACCTGGCAGCTGTCCAGAGCCCTCCCTGTCCCCCTGGAGCAACTCAGCTCAGGATGTGACACTTCCCTCTCCTCCTGGCAGGAGAACTTACTAGAAATTGGGGGAATCAATGTTTTAGTAGTTTCTGTTCTTCCAGCTGGAAACAGAAATGAAAATTCTGAAATTTCACTGTCAATGGTGCCTTCAAAATCATAATGTTCTGCTCTGATAAGACCAGAATTTTGGTTTTAGCTGAAACAAAAATGAAAGCACTAAACAAACTGATGCAATGATTTATAATGTTCACTGCCTATAAACCTACACGAGATGTAAATAGAGTAATATTAACATGGTAATATACTATGATAATCAGAATAAATGAAACATTAGGTCAATATGATAAAAGCTCTGACACATTTCACCTAAATGACAAATTGCTGCAAAACATTTTGACTTTCAAGGGACTCAGGCTTTCACTACAAGCAAGAAAGACCAGCTTTGGCTCATGTGATGAGGAAAGATCTGATTTGCTGAGGTTTTGGAGAAGGGGCATGAGGGCTTGGATACCCTTTGCCTCCCAGCTCCTTCTTCAGCACCAAAGCATTTGAGATAACAGCGATCCAGTTCAGGGAATACTGGACCAGATCCTGCCCAGTAATAAACTGGCCCAAATTGCTGATGGAAAAAAATGACCAGGGGGTTTGACTTCTGCAGTCCCTGTGCGGGCAGGGGACTCTGAGCTGTGTGAGGGAGGCTGTGGGCAAGCTCAGTGTTCTTCCAGGGGCTGACCCAGCCCCTCTGGAGCCAGATACTCCGGCAGAGGGTGTGCTGCCGATGCAGAGGTATGGGCAGGGCAGCCAGGCTCTTTTGCTCTCAATTACAGGGCAATAACTGTGATTTTCACACTTGGAATCTATAAATGGAAATTCTTCCCCCGTGAAGAATATTCTCATGTTACACAGCAGGTGGGAAATAGAGGGTGTGAAGGTAACTGTATTAAATTCTGTTCTTACAATATGATTTCTCTGCTGATAATGAAGTGCAACCAGCCTGGAATCTGACACTTGTGTGAGTTAAAGTACAGAGCAATGTCTTTGCCCGTCCCATCTGCTCTGTTACTGAGAGAAAAAGCCAGAGCTGGTTTCTCTCCTTAATGAGCAGAGAGCCTAATGGCTTTATGTCCTTCATAAAATTAGACTGCAGAATGCTAAGGACATTAGTCTGAAGTTCAATAATTAACTACAAACCAAGATGCTGAATTAGTAAAGCTCAGCTGGGTATTTATTGATAAAAGGAGCAGATTAATAGTAAGAAGTATCAGCAATGGAGAGCTGGCACTGTTTGGGGTTTTTTAGGCTCAACCATAGATTTGTCAGGAGCAATCAACTATTCAGACTATTGAAAGCTGCAACATTAACTGCATCTTCTCCAGAAATGAGCCAGAAATAATTCAATAGCTCCAGGCAACCCCAAAGATTTTTTGCTTTTCAATTTACCAATTATCCCATTGAGCACATCTCTTTGGATACCAGTAGATTCAGATTTTGTACACTTCCCTTTAAGGAAGAGAAGCTGAATGACTGTAGAGACCAACGTGATGTGAAAATAGGTGGTAGACAATAATTCTGTGTGTAAAGCAGCTCAGACTATAGCTGTGTATGACTCAGATTAGAGGAGGCAGAACCTCACTGGTTACCATGAGGAGCCCTCAAGTTCATGGACACAGGAGCATTCCCTGTGATCTCAGTTTCCAAGATTTAGTCATTCTCTGGCTGAACAATGCTCCAGTTCTGAGTGCTCACTGGTGCTCAGTGGGTGCAGACTGATTCCAAGCAGACACTCGGGGTTTTTTTATCAGTTTGTGGCTTTTTTAAATCAGGGATTAAAAAAACCAAACCCAAACCCAACACATTTCATTTAATAAAAATCTGCAATGAAAATAGAAGCCTTCATACACAACAAGAGAAGGATTTTTTTTCCCCACAGTGTGTCGCTGAGCCAGGAAATTCATCAGCCAAAACTTCATGGGCACTGACATTAGCAGCCTCCCACTGCAGCTCTCAGGGTGTGGGGAGCTTCAGCTCTGGGGAGTGTTTATGAAGCCTGCATTGCTCTACTCTGCATGTTTGGAGGTCACAGGGAAGCAGAAAAAAAAAAAGATTTTCTCCAAACAGTGCACACAGGCAGTACTAATTGATCCTGCAGCTGCAGTAAATGTTTTTGTCTTGCCCACCTGCTTCCTTCTACTCCCACACTCAGTGTGAGCACCACTTGCCAGCACAGCATCTCTGAAAGTGCAGGCAACTTTCCTGAGTCCTCCCTGGCCTCTCCTCCCACTCTGGCTCTTACAAACAGGTAAGTGGGACAAAATAGAACAATTACTTGTGTAGCTTCTTCAAGTGCACCCAGCTGGCTGGCAAGTACAGGATGGTTTGGGGTTGAACACACAGCACCAGGTGTGTTCTGTCCAGGTCACCTTTACAGAAAAATATCAGCACTGAAGAAATGCAAAAAAAACCCCCATCAAAACTATCAATTCCATCCATGGCTTGCATTTTCTCCCTCAGATCCAGAGAGGGTCTGGAGGGGAGAACAGGGGCAGGGCTGTCTTGTGTCTCCTCTTTTCGTGGCAGAGGAGATGTTTTGTTCTCATGCTGACCACGTGTGAGAGTGCTGGCCGTGGTGGTGCACAGGGAGAGAAGAGAATAAAGCACAGTTACCTTTCAGAGCAGGCAGCAGAGCTGGGATGAGGCACCAGAGTCCCTGCTTCAGACCACGAGCTTGCAGCTGATGTCCCGGGGACATCTCCTCCTCCCGGGCGGTGGGATCTGTGCAGAGGGCTCTGCTGTCCTGTCCCTGGAGCCAGGACAGGGCCCTTCCAGCCGAGTGCACTTTCCTCCTCTGCTATCGATCTCCGAGGCAGGGACAGCTCTTCCTCCCGACCCTGGGGTGCCAGCGGAGCAGCGTGGCACCGCTGATGGGAGGAGGGCACCGCTGGGTCCCGGCAGGGGCAGGGCCGAGGAGCTTCCCTGGCTGAGCAGCTCTACCCCTGGCTGAGCAGCTCTGAGGGATGGATGGATGGAGGGATGGATGGAGGCAGGCAAACCCTCCCGCCCTGCCTGCCTGCCTCCCCCGGCAGCACCAGGAGGGGATGAGCCGAGCTCCGGCTCCGAGAGAAGGGAGGGACGCTCTGAGCTCAGCTCACTGCAAAGTTTGTGCGAGGCTCGGTTTAACTCCTTCTCTCTCGGTTTAACTCCTTCTCTCTCGGTTTAACTCTTTCCTGCTTGCAAGGCTGCGCTGCCTGTGGCTGAGGAGTGAGACATCACCCTGGAGGGCAGCTTAGGGCTCCTCTCTTTTTCTGGAAGGCTCAAATGGCTTTTTGTTTTGTTTTGTGCCTCCTGGTGAGGGCTCCTATTGGGTTCCTGTCACCTTCCAGCCCTCAGGACAGTCCCCAAGCATTGCTCTTTGGCCATGGAGCTTTTAGTACATTTTTGTCCCTGGTTGGTGGTTTGGGAAGGGCTGTGTTGAGTTTACAGGTCCTGCTGCCCCCGAGTAGCTTGGAACTGCAAGAATAAACATAACCCCAACCCTGCAGTGTTGTGGGCAAAAATGATTTTTGCCAGTTTACGAATGTGTGAAGCACAAATTTACAGACACAGAAATGAGGCAGAGGGAGCCTGGGCTGGGTGAGAGCCCAAAGCAGTGGATCCCTCTGACTGCCACACCTCTCGACCTGCATTTCTTCACCCTCCCGGGCTGACAGAATGGGGATGTTTCGTGACAGATGCCAGCTTGGGATGCACTGCAGCTGTCCCCAAGGTGTCACCAGCACACGAGATGCAGTTTGCAGCTCTGAGCACTGAGCTTGGGCAGCTGTGTGCAGCTGTATTTTGTGTGCCCGTGTCCCTGTGCCCCAGCAAGGACTGGAGGCACCTTCATGGGGTGAACCCGACCCACAGCCCCTCTGGGCTTGTGGAAGTTCCCAGATTGTCATTCATGGCCTGTGTTTGGGGTACTGGAAACAAGCTTCCCCTCTGAAAAGTAGGTCCTGCACAGGGGTTTGGAAAGGACCTGTTAGTTCTTTCTCTCTGCAGC